AAACAAAACTATCCCCATTTGCCTAGTTTCTTAATTTCCAAGCCTTTTGAAACCCCTGTTCCCATCAACAAGTAGAACCCAACTCCTAAACAAGAAAAAAGCAAGTAGAATAGCAAGGAAAACAGCCTCGACCAAAGATATTTGACCACATTTCTTCCATTTCTCTAGCTTCGCAGCATACACCATTGTCATTGTTGCCAACATCTGCAAATCATTAACTTTCTTCTCCAATGCCTCAATCGGTTGCTCTCCTTTTTCTTCATAACGCTTCAAAACATTCCTAAGAGCTTTGATCCTTTCCCTTGCATCATCCAAATCAGTTTCCAATTCTGTCTTATTGTTGTGCAGCCACGAGATAACCTTCTTAGCCCTAAAAGGGAAATCTTGATCATACCACACAAAATACTTACACTGTCGCTTTTTATTCTGCAAATGTCCAAAAATCACATTTCATTAACAATTAATCAAAACCCAATCTTTATGCCAAGCAAAACCCTAAACATTACCACACAATACCTGCGAAATATCTTAACAAAAAAACCCTTAAACAACACACTAGTTTAAAATCAAACATTAGGGAAGAAATTACCATGGGATCATAGATTGGGCATCCAAAAAACCTTCGACCAGGATTCTTTTCGCTCCAAGACATGATCCTCGGAGCCTTCAAACCACAAAAGCAAAACCGACTTGGCCCCTTGTAATCATACTCTTGTCTTCCAAATTCCACCGGCGCTGAAGTGTGAGAGCTGCTGGAGCTAGGCATTGAACAAGTAAATGAAATGGGCGTGAAGATCAGAGAAGAGAAGGAAACTCAAAACTCTTTGTGCCCTAGGGATCATTTAAATAGATTTCTTTGCAGTCATTTGTCTTTCTTTTTTTTTTTTTCAAACCTTTAGTCAGCGGTGGGGCCCACAAAAAATTTGGTAGCAAGTAGACTTCCCGCTCGTGGGGTTCCAAGTTGGCATGCCAGGTTGTCAAAAAATTCTGAGTTAGCGCTGACATGCGCATATTTGACAGAGGCCAACGGTGCACGTGCTACACGTGATGTTCCGGCGTTAAATTTTGCCTCATTTCCTCAACTCGAAAACGTTGAGGGTAAAAATCCATGTATTGTAATACGGAGGGTAAAAACCTTAAAAGTCGAAAAGTTAAGGGGCAAACGGGTACCTTTTGCCGTTTGGCTAGAGACAAACTTTGCTAGAAAAGTTGTTATTAAGAAAGTGTTATACAAAAAGTTAAAAAGTTATTGTGTGAAAAGTTAAAAGATTTTATAATGAAATTTTATTAAAATTTTATTAGGTTTTTAATTTTTTTGTATGTAATATAAAATTGATATAAAAAAAATTTAGAAGAAAGTTATTAAGTGAGTTTTATATAAGAAAAGCTAGAAGAAAATATTTTACCTTTCAAATAACTTGGGGAAAAAATTTACTAATTAAAAATTATCAAAAAGATAAAAGCTAAAAATAATATTTTTATTTTTTTATTGTAATATTAAAATATAAAAATGCATAAATAACTTTATAAAAAAT